GTCAGGCCCCGCCCCAATATTAATATTTTTATAGTTTGTGTTATTATGGTCAATTATGTGGATAGAAAATACACAAAACGTTGTAATGTTAAATGTATATTTAATATAATTATAATAACAAGTAAACAATGCTAGCAGAATGTAAATTTACTACAATAATTATACAATCTAAAACTAAAACATAATACTTACAAAAGGCTATAACAGTTGCAATATTTTATTAAGGATTCAAATGGTACAATACATAACATTAACAAACTTACACAGGCCCCAGCCTCTGGGGCTGGGGCTGGGGCTAAACAGTCAGCTGCTACATTCGTAGGCAATCAAGGGCAGAGCAAAAAAGAGAGCCTGAATCCCTCCTACATCTGCTTTTTTATTTCCAGTGTATTCCTAAGTAGGCTGGCCTTTGATGTCACTGCCAGAAGCACAAGGCTTAAGGATTCCTACACACTGCCCCTAGTGGAGCCTCTAAAGCATTAAACTCATTATGCTTTTTTTTTTATGATGTAAATCATTATATTAATACCATTTCAATTAATGAACAGTATACTACAAAAATTCCAATACATTTTTAATGCCCATAGTTGGAAAAGGACACCCCCAAGGATCACACCATACAACCCTTAATTTGGCTGCCCTTTAACAGAGATGGGCTGGATATTCAAATGTTAAAGCATTTTATAAAGTTTCACTATTACTACAAGGATTGGCAGTAATCTCATATCCAAAACCTCCAGCGTGGCTTCCCTTCGACATCCCAAACCAGTAAGAACAACTATTATGGACACTCTCTTTGCCTACCATTAATCCAACCACCATGCTTCCCAGTAACAAATTCCTGCTCACTAATTGGAGACATTGGGCTCCAAATATGTTAGGCCCCGTAAACCTACTTTCCCCTGCTCCCATTCATTGCCTGACAGCTGCCTCCCCTGATATTCCCTTAAACGCCTGGATTACACAAGGTGTGATCAAAATTAACTCTCCTTGCAATTACATAGGAATTAAACCATTTCCGATTCTACATTTAGAATTATTTCTTCAATCCTGAGAACTATTTACTTATTTTAGAATCATGCACATATAAGTTCCAAACTTAAAAACCAAGCTGACACCTCCATAGCTCACACCATTTAGGCAAATGTTGCACTGGCAAGCGCTTTGCAAACAAATTGCTTGCTTTATGTTATGATTCAATCAATTGTACAATGTCAAATGAAAAACTCCCATATATGATAAAATGGGAAAAGGATCTGGGTACAAATGTTGTTCTCTCTTTGTGGGTCCAAACACTTCCTGCTGGAGATTTGGTCAGGGATTGGGTTCTCTCAAACACATTTTCTGTGACTGAGCAATTTCAATACAATTTTGGTTTCAAGTGAAGAAAACCAACCACAATATGACAAATATCAACCTTCCACACGAGCCAGATTATTACCTCTTACATTTAATTGCAACTCTAAATTGCATGCCAAATACAGCAGGCAGCTAAGATCAGTATAGCAAGCTATTGGAAAAGAGTTACAGCCTCTCTACTCTGCAGGAGGTATGGGAGAGGAGATTCCACATATCACTATGAGATTATGGCTTACAGAATCTAAGCTAAATAGGTTGACCGTGCAAAAATATGGAAAATTTGACTAGGTGTTCAAATAAATCATTCTTCTTAAAATCAGTTTAGTTTTTGTCAAACCACTAACCGTAACAAGGCTGAACCAAGCACATTGGTACACCTATACTTAAGTGTTCACAGAGGAGGCATAAGTCATAACATACACATGCAAAATATTTTAGTCACCCTCCTTTTACCTACCTTTTAGGTGCATGAGGGTGACTTCCCTGGGGTTCAGTGGCTCAGGTTGATGGGAGTCAGAGTTTCCACTCTGACTCCCTCTCCTTTCTCCTGTGCGGCACCCGGTGGTTGCTGGGAGGAGTGACCGGGGTAGTTACTTCCTCCCAGCATCTGACATCATCAGAGTGGTCCGGTGGCGCTGTTACCGGGCCCACTCTGATGATTATATTCATTTCCATAGGGTGGCCCTAACATCAAGGGGCACCTGATGAACCCCTTCATGTGCGGCCCTGGACCTGGAGTGATGGGCCTGGTCACAGCTGCGGCAACTGCAGTATGTACGCCACTGATTCAGACCCATTTAGTGCAGATGATTTCTGGACATCTTTGAGATGTTTCTACACTTTGATTGGAGTCCACCTGCGGCAAATTCAAGTCCGTGGACATGATTTACCTTTGCCAGAGGGAATGTTTCATCTCTAATCGTAGCTGCACATAGTTTGTGTACTATAAACAAAAAATGAAGATTGACCCAAAAGTCAACAACAAAAGGGACTTAGTGGGTAATGATGGTCATAAACCCTAAATTGTTTAAATAAGAACGAAGAAGACTTTAGTGTGTTCGTAGGGATCCTCAACGTAAATGAAGAAAATTTGAGATTTACAAGTGAGTTTGGGGGCACAAGCCTCAACTTTCTGGACATAACAATTACTATTACCGATCATAACACTATACAAACAACTTTATACAAAAAAAAACAATCTGCTTCTAATAACCTTCTCAGGTGGGACAGTTTCCATCCTCAACCTTTAAGACAAGGCATTCCGGTAGGTCAATACCTCCGAGTTAGGTGAAATTGCAGTTCAATTGAAGAATTTAAAATGAAAGCGAAGGATTTGAGAATACACTTTAGAGAAAAAGGGTACCCCAATAAGTGTCTGAAACGGGCTTATAAAAGAGCCTTAGAATCAGATCGAAGTACACTTATTGCAGACACTTCCCCGACCAAGGCATCAGAAGATTCAAACATTATTCAACTTATAGCCACCTATGATGCCGGTTGGGATAGGGTAAAAGACTCCCTTCAACGCTTTTGGCCCATACTCACTGATGATGAACATCTAAAAGAAAGACTGACCCCTAATGCAGCTATTACAGCATGCAGAGGGAGAAATTTGTGGGACATTTTGTCCCCTAGTCATCTACAGTTGAGACAACCCACTACATGGCTACAGAGCCCTGTAACAGGTAGCTTTGCATGTGGACGATGAACCACTTGTAAATTTATTAAGAAAGATTCTAAAAAAAGTGAAAGGCAGTGACGACAGTGAAGAATTTACGATCTCTTCATTTTTTTATTGCAATACAGCTGGCCTTGTATACTTACTCACCTGTCAATGAAAGTTAAAATATGTTGGTAAGACATTCAGACCATTTAAGAAACGTATTCAGGAACATATACGATCCCCCAGGAACCCACTGGATAATCCTATCTCTAGGCACCTTAGAGAATATCACAATGGAGAATCCAGTGGGTTACGGTTTTGTGGACTTGAATTAGTGAAAAAAAGTCCCAGGAGAGGGAACTATGACACATTTTTGAGACAACGAGAATCCTTTTTGATATATAGATTAAAAACTCTGAGCCCAAAGGGTCTCAATGAAGGCTTCTCATTTTCCCCTTTCTTATGAATAATGATCTGGCTATATTGATACTTCATACAATTATGGCTGGGTTAAATGATTGATTTGGTTTGTAAAAATTCTGTTTTAGTACTTTTTAAGTGCTTTGGTGATTTAAAAATGGAACAGTATTCTGTTCCCATTTATAATAATGTATTATTGGCTGGGCTCACATTAGAACTCTTAAGGGCTATATATATATTCTTCTTCTTCTTTTTCGTCCCACTAAGATCATATTCTTACAACATTTTAAGTTACAGAGTTACTTTATTATCTCCTCTCTAGATTTCGAGTTATTAAGCTCTTGAAAGAACCTGAACATCACTTTTTTTGTGAATATAATGTCTATCCATCTTCTTTAGAATTAAGAGCATGGATACAATCTAGAATATGTATATATATAGAAACACGTTTTATAGTGGAGTGGTCAAATATTTTCCCCCACTGTTGCGTTTTTTATGAAATAAAAAATACAAAATACAAAAATAAAAATAAATTAAAAAATAAAAATGAAAATATGAAAATCTAATTGTATATATATATATATATATATATATATATATATATTCCCTTTACTTTAGCTAAGGGATTTATCTGTTATATGAACTGCAGAACCACAGATAGCAACTCCAGCAACATTATATTAAACTTTGGCTTCAAGTTTTCCCCTTGAGATCTTGTCTCCAAACTGATTATTGATTGATTGTACTAGCTCATAGATAGCATTATGGGGCTGCATTACAAGCCATAATAGTTTAGCATTATTCAGGAGTCACTCTGCAGAATTTTCTATCTATAAAATTACATTGTATCCACTTTCTCTTTGCACAATATTTTGTGCCCTTGGGAATTATTATAGAGATACAGTAACTCTGTATAGTGTTGCTGAATAGCGGACGTTTTTATTTACACTATGTAACAAAGAGTGGTTGCACCCTGGAACTATTTAAGTCCAAAGGGTTAATTGGACGCCAAACACGAATATTAAAACAGCACATCGCCTATATGCTTTCTCGGCGACCTGCTGTTTTAGCTTTGAGATTCTAAAATTGTATCCATTCAGCCTCCGTTATTTTGACGTCACGAGTTTAGGCGTGTCCTAAAGACGCATCATTTTGGAGGTGTGCCTTACCCCTTTTAAAAGACTGGGGGGCACCTGGCACAGTAATTCTCTTGACAAAGACGCCTTAGTGCGCCGAAACGCGCGTCGAGCTAGACTTTTTTTTTTTTTTTTAGGTTAGGTTTGATGCAGCCTTTGTCTCTTCTACTATGCAGTAAATTACTTTAGAAGATTTGCTTAGCTTGAGGATCAGTGTAACAGCTAGTAGCAGCCTCTTAGACAAGGATATACATTCTCTTAGGTAGCTCAGGTGTGTTTAGTACTAATCTGGGTAGACTAATGTAATTTGGGAATTATTGCTCTAAATATTTAGACAATCTTTCTGGGTTTGGCAGTTATATTTATGATTTATTAGTATTATTTTTTATTTTCTATTTTTTATGCCTTCCCAGGAACAAATCTAATAGTTCTTTTCCCCTTAAGATCTATGTTCTACATGAGGATTAAATAGATTTGAACCAATTAAGGCAGTATATTAGGCTTTTAGCCTGCCTACAAGTTGCCTTTGAGTAATATACTTTGAGGATCTGTGGCTTTAGGTTTTCAATTTGGGTTTATTGTATGCTTTAGTATTGAGGCACATACTCAATATCACTATATATTGGGTATACCATAGGTGTCTATACTGGAGTATCTATATATCTATATATTTTCTATAAGCAACTATTAATTACGAGCTAAACACATTCAGGTTTTACTGTCCTGTTTTCTTTGCTTTGCATTATAATCTCCTATTATTCAGACAGAGTGCTATTCATTATTAGCCATTTAAGTCTTGATATAATGTCCTCCAACTGATGACTTCTTCGACTAATATTTTGACTGTACAAGTTAATGTTCTATTATTATTGAGTAACAGCGTTTTTGATACATCAGGAGATTTCATACAGGCTGCATGAAACCTTCCTTTTTAATATCACCAGCACGTTTGAATTTGTGTCTCACTATTAATTTATGTCTAAGTAAAATTTAATAAAGATATACTAAGTATTTTAATTCATTACTTCTGGCCCCAATGAGTCATTTTCACTATTGTGGGTATACCGTGGGGGACTTTTAGAGGAACGGTAATTTACCCTTTACTCTTTCAGTTTTCTATGGTAATTTCTTTTCTAGTTTGTGTACTACTTGTATCACTGATCAGTACTGCTCCGTTCAATCCCCCTGCAAAGGTTCTCCTTCTAGAGCCACTGCCAACTTCCTTCTCATCAGTGACAACAAATAGCATGCTACTGCACGAGCAGCTAGCGCAGGCTCAATGTCTTTTGCATTTTGTAGAGACCATTTTCTACATTTTCTACATTAAATACAGACACAATTCCACATAGACCAGGGGGTAGAAAATATATCAGAATCCAAGGAGCATCAAAAACTGATGCTTTTTTTATGATGCACCATTGGTGCAGATGTGAGAAAGGAGGCAGAAATGACCAATAGTGATGTCCCGAACGGTTCGCCGAACGTTTTGCGAACGGTTCGCCACGAACAGTTCGCCACGGACTCATCATTGAGTAAACTTTGACCCTGTACCTCACAGTCAGCAGACACATTCCAGCCAATCAGCAGCAGACCCTCCCTCTCAGACCCTCCCACCTCCTGGACAGCTCACTAAGAATGCAGCTTCAAAATGGATGCTGTCCAGGAGGTGGGAGGGTCTGGGAGGGAGGGTCTCCTGCTGATTGGCTGGAATGTGTCTGCTGACTGTGAGGTACAGGGTCAAAGTTTACTCAATGATGAGTCTGTGGCGAACCGTTCGTGGCGAACCGTTCGCGAACCATTCGGCAAACCGTTCTGGACATCACTAATGACCAACAATCATGTTGTATTATTTATCTGACTTTATAAGCTGCAGATTTTCCTAGAGGCATCTTGTCAATTCTAAAGCTAGCTCTGCCCTCATCATTTTATCTTTTGTTTTTAAAATCATCCCTGAAAGTCAATAAATACACAATACAGCTGTTTGTCCTATGTGCTGTCCTATATTTATCCCATTCTTTACACCAATGTTATGCAATTTGTTTTAATATGAATTAATTTAGCACTGAAGATGTTAATAGAGATCATCATTTGGAGCATTTGCAGTATTGGTTCTCCTTGTACATTTACCATTTGCTTACTGGGAACTTTGAGAATCCCAATTTACATCATCTGCCTCCAGTATTGGACAACTTGAGTGTCGATGTTGTGCCTGACACCTGATAACATGCAGTTAGTTATAATTATTTATTTACTGCATAGTGAGTCTGCAAGATATTGTTGTTTTATTATTGTTAACCTGGATATTTTTTTACCAAACACTTTGAGCTCATCTTACTTAACATTCTAAAGGATATGACTCTTATCTGTCTGCTTCAATGAGAGCCACCAATTAACTGCAATATCCTGCAAATGAGTAAGTCTAATTACTCTAGCCAGCTGTGTAATTGTGTTTATATAACATTTCATAAAAAGTTTACGGGACACCATTAAAACCATAAGTGATTTGTTCTAAGGCCACTGAAAAGTAGTAGGGGCATACCAAATATGCAAATGAAATGGGTGGTGGGTGATTAATCAACCCTTTTTTTTGGCAGGGCAGGGCAGTACAGCCATGCGAAACTCTAAAGAAATAAAATATGTAGGAGGTTAGAGACGTTACACATGCATGTTACTGGAAGCCAAAATTAAATGAAAAGCATTTATGAGTTGGAAAGGACTGTATTATTTCATACATAATAATACAACTACTTCATCTATGCCATTGCCATTTAATAACATGATTTTAATCAGAATAAATAAATAAATGGTTTAGACTGCTAGAGATTGTTAAATGTTCACTGTAACGCCTTTTACAAAATATTACGCAATTCAGTTGAAGAGAACGTTCATTCTTAGTGATGTGTTTCAACTATAATTTACCCAAGCAATCTGTTCTCTGAGTTTTCCAGGATTTCACTGAACCACTGTTAATTACTTTCTATTTTCTTTAGTATACTGGTATTTCCTAAGGGAGAGAAATTGGCAGAACGTTCTATCAGAGGGCCATATAAATCACTACGCTCATATAACCTCTTATTAACTTTTGCAACTCTGCACTCTTGCGTGTCCTACAGGTTACCCAGTAATTACACTTGACATTACTTTTAATGTACAGGTTATTTACCTTGCTTTGAAAATGTGCACATTGCCTGCATAATGAAATATGTGGAATATTATTTAGATCTTTTCCATATGGAATCCATAAATCTCGTAGTTATAGATATACTCATATCATCATGAATTATGAGTGACAACATCACTTAACAGTGTTTGGAGAAAGCAGTGTTTCATATAACTAGTCATTTTTAATGACTGAAAAAAAAATGATAGGTGCCTCAGCCCCTTCCAGCAAATCCTTCCTGACGAATGTGTTCCAGACTGGTCTAATTGCAAACAGCATCCAAGGCCAGCTGTTCTACAAGGGCAACTATTTACATCAATCAAAGGTCTTTGATCATGGATAAACAGACATCAAGGAAAAGAGGGTCCAGCTTACTGTATATCCTGAAGATTAATATGCAAAGATGTTTATGGAAATAATTGTTTTCCTAAAGATAATAATATATTTATCAGGTCAACTGGTGGATGTGTAGACAAACTCTACATTTTAGTAAGTAGCCACTACAGTTGAGTTGCTTTGATTCTAGAGAGGTTGTCGATGGAATTAACAGATAGTATATTGTAGAACACAAGTAGGTGGCAACAAAAATATAGAAAACACAAACAAAGAGAGAAGAAAGACAATGTCAGTGCACTACTCAGACACACAACTGACTTCTGGGGTTTGTAACCTGTGCACCATATGAGGATTTGGAGATAGGGCAGTATAGCACTTCACCAGCATTCATCCAGCTTGTCATAAAGGATGAAGCAATAAATCCCTGGACACTCATTATCTGGAGCTTCAGTTATACGTTGTATGCAATCCTATATATAATGGGTTCATCCAGGTGAGGAGTAGAGGCAGTACTCATCTATTAAAAGTGCAAACATAAATATTATTTATATGGTCCTACATGTATAGTGAAATTATTGGATTCATTTAGTGAGTGTGAGTCTTTTTATGCAACTTCAAAACAGTCTTTGTATTACAGGCTACTGGAAATCCTACCACTCCCTCAAAACTAGGACATGTTTTTAGGAAATAAGAAAAGAAGTTCTGTTTATCCCAAATGGTCTTACCATGAAAATTGTGTTTATTAGTACAGAGTTATAGTTTTTAGAAAGTCATTTGTGTGAACAAGACCAGAACTTAAAAAAAAAAAACATACAATACCGTGATGTGATTGGCTGTTGCTTTTTAATAGAAGTTTTCACAGAGGTTACTGTTCTAAAAAAATAATACTGTTATAAAAAAACAGATTTTGTGGCTATGTATTAAAAGAACATTTAGATGCAATTCTCTTCAAGTTGGTCTGCCATATTCTATTTTTCTGTAATTAAAGTATACTTCTAATTATATGTAGCTGTTGCGCTCCAATTTTCTTATATGAAAACAATAAATGTTGTGAAACACCTGGAGTAGTTAAGATATAACGTTTAATAGAATTTGATAAAATACTATCCAAAACTGGATGTTGACATACCATGATGGAGTACTCTAAAGTATCAAAGCAAAAGAAAAAAAACAATTAACTAAATACAATGAAAAAAGAAATAAATATTTGATACAAATATTTACATGTTTTCTCATCACATGTGCTGGCACCCAGTCCTTAGGATTTTTACTATTTTGATTTTCCTAGGGAGTTTCTACTCTGTTCCCAGTTTCATGTGTCATACGACAAGTTATTTTACAATGTACCTTACTCTTCAGTTCTGTCTCTTTATATCTTTTTTCGTTGTATTTAGTTAATTGTTTTTTTTTATTTTGCATTGATACTTTAGAGTACTCCATCGTGGTATGTCAACATCCAGTTTTGAATAATACTCCACCTGAAGTCTGTGGATAGTTAATACAATGTTAAACAAAAATCTCCATGAGGGGTTCACTGGCTTTGCATCTTTTCATAAGTTGTGTTTCAAAGCTGTATGCAAGCCAAAATAACTATTATTTGAGATGCCTATTATGAGTTGGTAGGTTGTGAGAGATTTCAGTAAGGAATATGGTCAGGCCATGAGGGTAGATGAGTTATGCATATTGATTTGTTACCTCTTACCAAGGGGGCGGCGGCGGGGGGGAGAGGAATAAGACGCTGTACTTCTGGGTAGGAGAGGAGCAGGCGATATATAACCCTGCTTCCTTAGTAAAAGCTTGGTCTTCATGTTTCTAACCACTTATAACACTTTATAGTCCAACATAATGAACTATTTCTCGTCAACATATGGTGCAAAAATATAATAATAACTTTTGAGATTATTAGCAAGTGTTTTTGCTTGCTGGCTGGTGTTCTTGTTGGGTCGATATCCGGAATAGTCAGGTATCCAGTTCCTGTGGTCCTTCTGCTCTTGGGACAAAAGAAGTAATATTGGCATGGTCACAAGCTTCCCCGAGAGTTCCCGTGGTCAAATATAATAATAACTTTTGAGATTATTAGCAAGTGTTTTTGCTTGCTGGCTGGTGTTCTTGTTGGGTTGATATCCGGGATAGTCAGGTGTCCAGTTCTTGTGATCCTTCTGCTCTTGGGACAAAAGGGCATGGTCACAAGCTTCCCCGAGAGTTCCCGTGGTCTGGGTAGCAGGTGCTTGAGATAGTCTCAGGGCTGCTAGGAAGTCTGGTGCCGCGTCCAGCGACATAAGGTTGTGTGTAGTCCTGTTGTGGATCACCATGAGGTAGCCTCTTGGTCCCCACCTGTAAGGTAGTTGCACAGCTGAGCGGTGACAGGGCCAAGGGACTATCTCCAGGTCAGAGTGGTTTTTGTAAAGTCTGAAAAAAGGAAAGTTGCGAGTCCTCAAAGGCCAGGGGTGCCTTATCCTTTAGGGCCAGCATAATTTGAATCTTGTCAAGGAGATTTACACAGTGTAGTATAACATCTCTGTTCCTAGTGGAAGGGTGTAACGGCACCCTCCGCATAAAAGGGTTAAACCACCTTTTAGAAGATCTTCTCCTTCCAGAGACACAGGCACAGCTACTGCAGAACACCAAACTCCTGAACCGCATATAAGGCAATGCTCTAAACTCCCGAATTGCATACAAAATAGCACTCCAAACTCCCGAACTGGAACCTCACGAATAGCTGCTAGCAGAGGAATAGGAAAAGCACCCAAGCGTCTTACATTCCTAGCAATCAGTCTCTATCAGCATACAGTAAATCTCCCAAGAACGAGACAGGGCTCCGTGTTGAGGGTCAAGCAGTGGTCTGTTTTAATAAGGGCTACCTGCCCAGTATTTATGCAAGTCTCCCACCTGGTGGACACTCCCCTAGGGGACCAAATGGGAGACTGTGACAAAGGACAGACATGAACTAATGACAGACACACAGAGGTAAAACATCCCCATAATGCATCCTAACTTCCCTTCCTCTGTCCTGGAGATAATTGGGAAGTAATCCAATTATCTCCCAGGGCAGAGGTAAAACTCTATTAACCACATGGTTACAGTAAAACACTAAAACACAATAAAATACACGATATTACATTTAACACACAAAATATATACTTGCAACCCATCCCCAGATAGCTGGGATCTGATCGCACAAAAGTACCGAATAGCGCTCAGATCCTATGCACACAGTCCAATCGCCATGAAGTTAAAGTGTTCCTAAAGTCTGTTCTCCATACGAATATACTCCACGGGATGGTTATCTGGGGTAATGCTGTTCATACGGTTTAAACTACCGAATGAACAGGCATTCGGTTAATGACCGAATGCAGAAGCAAGGAGGATGACAGCTCAGCGGTGTTCGCGCAAATAAGTGTCCGTTTACAGTTTCACAGTTTGGGCGCTGAACACCGCTGGCCATTCGGGACTTTAAAATGGCCGCCGCCACGTGTTCGGCAACCGAACAAAGGCCACCCAGCATTCGTCAATTAAGCTGCAGTTAACCGCAGCTTCTTGGAGGTTAATTGCCGACACTCCAGCTCCCAGGTGGTCCAGTCCAATCGCTGTGAAGTTAAAGTGTTCCTAAAGTCTGTTCTCCATACGAATATACTCCATGGGATGGTTATCTGGGGTAATGCTGTTCATACGGTTTAAACTACCGAATGAACAGGCATTCGGTTAACTGACCGAATGCAGAAGCAAGGAGGATGACAGCTCAGCGGTGTTCGCACAAATAAGTGTCCGTTTACAGTTCCACAGTTTGGGCGCTGAACACCGCTGGCCATTCGGGACTTTAAAATGGCCGCCGCCAAGTGTTCGGCAACCGAACAAAGGCCACCCAGCATTCGTCAATTAAGCTGCGGTTAACCGCAGCTTCTTGGAGGTTAATTGCCGACACTCCAGCTCCCAGGTGGTCCAGTGGCCGCCGGGCAGAAAGGCACGAATAAGCCTTTTTCTGCAGGGGAAAATAAGTCTTTTAACATGGGGCCATAATCCAAAGGCAACAGGCGAGCAACCAGACTTCTCTAATGCAATGTGGCGAGATTGCTCTCGTCACAAAGGGGCTCTTGTGGAACCTGAAATATGGTAGATCCCGTCTATGGCGATCTTCTTGGCAGTCACAGGTGGCAGGATTGTGATGAGTCCGAGCCTAACATAGTGCGGTAGTTCTTCAGCCATGATTGCGGCAAGTATGCCCCGGATTTTAATATGGGAACGGCGCTGTCTGCCTTCAAGAGACGTCATGCGCATTGTTAGTGCCTTATGATCCATTTGAAGTTGTTGGACTGAGTCCCTAAGGAGTGACAGGTTAGTTTGAATGTCTGTAATCTTGTCCTCTGCCGTTTGCACTCTGTCTGTGACCTGTTTGATGTCTGCCTTGACAAGATTCACGTCGGCCTATAGCAGTTTGCGTATATCTGCCAGGAGGTCGTTCAGATCAGCGCTTGGCCGTGGGGGCTGAGTCACAGGAGGATTCAGTAGGGGAGAGCTGGTTATCCGCAGGTTCATTATGTGTTCCAGGACTTAGCTGTTCCGATTCTGGCATTGGAGTGTGTTTAACTTTTATAGAAGCTTTATGGACCACCCATACGCTGGCTGGGGTAGTAAAAGCGTTTTTGTTTAGGCAGAAATATTAGGATATTTTTCACGTTGGTATTGTAATTTGTTTGTTGTATAAAAGGATAGGGTTAAGCTACCATGATCATGCCTGTAGACACTTAGTAAGTATAAGAATAGAAATGGAAGATAAGACAAAGCCTGTGGTCCTGGGGAGAGAGAAGCCTAAACTGGTCTTATAGGAAATACCAGAGTATACATGAGTAGATATATTCTGAAAGGGCCACCCTTAGCAGGCTGTTGTGATGATGTAACCCTTTAGTGACCAGGCCATTTTTTCAATTTTATTACCGTTAAGGACCAGCGCTCTTTTTACATTTCTGCAGTGGTTGTGTTTAGCTGTAATGTGCCTCTTACTCATTTACTGTACCCACACATATTATATACCATTTTTCTCGCTATTAAATGGTCATTCTAAAGATACCATTATTTTCATCATATCATATTTACTAGAAAAAAATAGAAAATATGATGAAAAATTGAAAAAAAACACAGCTGGCCATCATGCACCCATGTCCCATTTGGAACATTTTTGAAGCCGGCCAGTGTAATTTACCCCCGTCAAACTGTATGTTTTTGAAAAGTAGACAACCTAGGGCATTTCACATGGTGGCATTTTAACACTTTACATGCACTAATTCTACCACCAGTCTCTGTCAAACGTTTGGGTAGTCTTTTTTTTGTGTTATTTTTCACACACATTCTACTTTAGGCATAGATTCTCAGCTCCAGTTAGGTGTTACTGCCAAAGGACACCCCAACATGTGTTCGGCAACATCTCCTGAGTACAGCGATACCACCAGGGGTCAAGTCCTGGGGGAAAAAGTGTGGGAACTCACCCAAGATTCCCGCTTCCAACCCCCCCCCTTAAAAAAAAAAAAATTACACTCCTATGCATATAGTACAGTGCAGGTTGTGTATAATGAATGTAGTGTGTTTGGAGTGAATGCAGAGTATGAATAATAAATGTAGTGTGTTTGTAGTGAGTGCTGTGTGAATAATAATTGTAGTGTATTTGTAGTGAGTGCAGAGTGTGTATAATGAATGTAGTGTATTTGTAGTGAGTGCAGTGTGTATAATAAATGTAGTGTGTTTGTAGTGAGTGCAGTGTGTATAGTGAATGCAGTGTGTATAGTGAATGTAGTGTTTTTGTAGTGAGTGCAGAGTGTGTATAATGAATGCAGAGTGTGTATAGTGAATGTGGTGTGTTTGTAGTGAGTGCAGAGTGTGTATAATGAATGTAGTGTGTTTGTAGTGAGTGCAGAGTGTGTACAATGAATGCAGTGTATGTAGTGTGTTTATAGTGAATGCAGAGTGTGTATAATGAATGTAGTGTGTAATGAGTGCAGAATGTGTATAGTGAATGCAGAGGGTGTATAGTGAATGTAGTGTGTTTGTAGTGAGTGTATAGTGAATGTAGTGTGCTTGTAGTGTATAATGAATGCAGTGTGTGCATGTGCTGGATGATGTGTGTGCGCGCGCTGGATGACGTGTGTGTGAGTGCTGGATGATGGGTGTGTGAGTGAGTGCTGGATGATGGGTGTGTGTGCTGGATGATGGGTGTGTGAGTGAGTGCTGGATGATGTGTGTGTGAGTGCTGGATGATGGGTGTGT